TAATCACTCTGACCTCAATTTAAAAAAAAAAAAGTCTTAAATAGTTACTTCCCAGATACTAAAGTGCAAAAGAAAAGGAAGTGTAGAGAAAGATACGGAAAGGGATTGGGGCACCATAGCTTAGTCAGCTAATCCTGTGATTGTTGCGCTGGCATCCCATGTGGGATCTGATTCTACTCCCACCTGCTCCACTTCCAATCCAGTCCGCTGTTAATGGCCTGGGAAAGCAGTGCAGGATGGCCCAAGGCTTTGGACCCCCGTGTCCGCTCCTCATGGGAAATCTGGAAGAAACTCCAGGTTCCCAGCTTTGGACCAGCCATTTGGGGAGTGAGTCAGCAGATGTAATATCTCTGCAACTCTTTCAAGTAAAACAAATCTTATTTAAAGAGACAGAGAGAGAGAGGGAGAGAGAGAGAGATGAAGTGGCATGAGAAAGCACCATCTCCTGGAAAAGGAATGTTTTCTGTACCTCAAGGGAGAAGAGAGGTCCCCAGAACCAGACATTGGAGTCGGGACCATGACCCCAGTAGCCCCTCGCTCAGTCCCTCACACACCCTTCTGTTTCATGCTCACTGTGATGTGCAATCCTATTCATGAAACCACTGCACCTGCCGTCCCTGGGGCATACGTGTGCTGCCTATGAAGCCACATTCAGTGTCTTGTGCTGAGAGGACCTGCACTCGCCTGCTCGGGGAACTGTTGAAGCCACTTCCTCCTCCAGGAGCTGCCTTCCAAGGCTGGCTATTCAGGAAGCTGCCGAGAGGTCATGTTCAGGTTAAATCCAATGACCAGCTCCAGCTAAACCTCATGGGAAACAAACATTACACACTTCCAAAGACAAACTGGCCCTCAGGAGTGAAAACTGGAAGAAACTTAAGGGCAGTCTGGACCACCCATCTCCTTTCCCAATAAAATGTACAAAGCTTTTGATCCAGCAAATTCCATAGCTGGGATTATAACCCAAAAAAGACGCAACGGCATGCTTGCAATGGTGTTTGAAATTCTGTTTAGAGAGGCAGAAGGGAGGGAGAAAGATTGGAATCATTTAACAACAGACTGATTAAATAAACTGGTCAACTGATGGCAACTAAGTACTAAACAGGCACAGGCCTACACACACTACAGGCATATAAAGACAATACACAAATGATAGCACCAACATACATCACTCACATGCATGCACGGTGGGCAAGGAAAGCCTCCGCAGGGGGGACACCATGAATATGAACACTGGAGGTCAAGGGGGGATAGAGAGGGAATTATAAAAAAGTACATTTCACTTTTCCTTGTCTTTCTGGCACATATTACTCTTACCAAAAGAAATTTAAAAATTGAGCCTTTTGTAATGTTTCAAAAGACTATATTAAAAAGCCATCTTTTTGGAAAATGATGTAAGACAAAACACACAGTGCCAGAAGTTTATATTTTCCAGCACTAGGGATGGTCTCCACCCGCACTCCGTCTTTCTCTCCTTGTCTTGCTCCCCTCCCAGCCCTTCCCTCCAAGGTGTTCCCCCTTTTCCATGTCTCAGAAAGAAAGGCTATACCTGGCTGGAAATCTGGCTGTGAATGAGGCAATGAGAGAAATTACAGTGGGGCCTGGCGCAAAAGCCTAGTGGTTAAATTCTACCTTGTATGCGCCAGAATCCCATACGGGCACCAGTTTGTGTCCTGGCTGCTCCACTTCCCATCCAGCTCCCTACTTGTGGCCTGGGAAAGCAGTAGAGAAAGACCCAAGGTCTTGGGACCCTATGCCAATGTGGGAGACCCAGAAGACCCTCCTGGGTTCGAATCAGCTCAACTCCAGCCATTGCAGCCACTTAGGGAGTGAACCAGTGGATAGAAGGTCTTTCTTTCTATCTCTCTCTTGTATATCTACCTTTCCAAGAAAAGTAAGCAAAGCTTAGAAAGGAAGGAAGGAAAGAAGAAAGAAAGGAAGGAAGGAAGGAAAAAGGGAAGGGAAGGGGAGGGGAGGGGAGGGGAGGGGAGGGGAAGAAGGGAGGGAGGGAGGGAAAGAGGGAGAGAGAGAGAGAGAGAGAAAGAAAGAAAGAAAGAAAGAAAGAAAGAAAGAAAGAAAGAAAGAAAGAAAGAAAGAAAGAAAGAAAGAAAGAAAGAAAGAAAGAAAGAAAGAAAGAAAGAAAGAAAGAAAGAAAGAAAGGAAGAAAGGAAGAAAGGAAGAAAGGAAGAAAGAAAGAAAGAAAGAAAGAAAGAAAGAAAGAAAGAAAGAAAGAAAGAAAGAAAGAAAGAAAGAAAGAAAAGAAAAGGAAGTTACTGTCCCAGCTGACATCTTGCAGTAGACATTTTCTTCACGTGGCTCAGGAACTGCTGAGCAGAGTAACTCAGTCAGTCGTGTGACTGTCACATGGTCACCATGTTGTCAAGGAGTCCTGATGTGATCTGTTCATTCTAGAAGGCTGACCTCTCTTAAAAATACAAAACAGACGCAACAAAAACAGGGAGGAGGTTAGGGAGGATACCCAGACACCAAGCTGTGTGATGCCAGCTACCGAGACAGAAAAGGATAAACAAACAACTGGCCGATAATGATGTTACAGAGGAGCTGGGAGTCGGGGAGGGGAATCGGAGCAGGAGAAATGAAGCCAGAAGCAAAGACAGAGAAGCACACAGGATATTTGCAGGGTTGAATCAAGTGAACTTCTTATAAAAGGTAAGCAGCATCCAAACCACAAAGCGCAGGGGTTGAGAAAGCACAGCTTACATCTGGGCAGGCAGAACTGCCAGCATTCGGAGCACAGGGAGGCAACATGCCACAGAGGCAGCAGCGGGATGAGCTGACAGTCACAAAGCTGGGACCTGGGGCAACAAGACTTGGTCCCTGAAGGAGATTAGATTTCACTCCAAAAACATGGCTGAAGTTCAGTGCCTCTGTTTGAATGGAAAGATTCCAATTCAAGAAGCCAGTGACCCCAGAAGTCCACTGGAAGATGGAAACTCAACCCATTCTCTCATTAAGAGCTACTAAAGGGTCCATGCAAGTATGGTAAGGTTGTCACCTATGGAGCCAGCATCCCATATGGGCACCAGCTACTCCACTTCTGATCCAATTCCTTGCTAATGAGTCTGGGAAAGTAGTGACCCCTGTACCCACACAGAAAACCTGGAAGAGGCACTCTCACTCCCTCCCTCCCTCCTCTCTCTCTCTCTCTCTCAATCTCTCTCTCTGCCTCCCTCCCTCCTTTCTTCCCTCCCTCTCTCTATTTTCCTCCAGCCCTCATCTCTCTGTCACTCTGACTTTCAAACACACACACACACACACACACACACACACACACACACACACACACACACACACACACACACAGAGGCATGCCCTGCCTGGGTTTCCAATCAAAAAGACAACCCATCAGAATACTCTGGGTTGAAAGGATTCAGACTCAAGGAGATGAGCTCCAGGACAGAAGGGCTCACATGAGGTATTGTGGTCATCAGAATCTGAATCCCAAGCAGAGAGAGGTGGGGGAGGGGTTCTCTAGGCTAGTAGGGAGTTTCTAGGTGGGGAGGGGCAACAGAGCAGGGTTCCCCTTCCAGACAAGCGGATACTTACACTGACATCAGAGGGAAAGCCTACAGAAGGGTCCAACGGAAGCGGTGACATTGCAGACCACCACAGGGCTTGCCTGCTCTGAAATCGCCCTTCTGGACAGTGCCTGCCTCCAGTCACGGCAGGGATGAACTGGGGCAGGGGAGCTTCACCTTACAGGGTGCAGACAAGCCACACCTGCCCTACAGAAATGCAACTGCAGCAAGCAGCCCCACTCCTCCCAAACTCCAACTGTAGGCAATGAGATGGCAGAGGAGCTAAGAGCTCCTCGGATGTTCCCTGTGGAGCCAGACAGTTAAAGGGAGGCTAATGTGGCTATTTACCCCCAAACAGCATATGAGTGACCCCTGCTGCTCATGTGGGAGACCCAGATGAAGTCCCGGGTTCCTGGCCTCAGCCTGACCCAGAATGAGCCATTGCAACCTTTTGGAGAGTAACAGAAGGTGTGTGTGTGTGTGTGTGTGTCCCCTTCTCTCCCTCAACTCTCTTTCAAATAAACACAACCCTTTTTCAAAATACGGTAAATTATACATAATATTTTTCAGTGAAAAATGAGTACAGATTGTGTATGAGTTCACAGCATTTCTTCCACTGCAATAGAAGAATTTTACACTAACCCAAGACAGTCCTATTCGATTAACTTCCATCTTGACTCCCAAGACCAGTCTATAGTTACAGCCACATCACAAGCAAAAGCAATATACAATGTAAGGTAATATTCAATAGGTCCTATCTGGCAACACGAACGACCCTTTAAAGACTAGTAGCACTTAACACATACTCTTGAAATATCAGCTCCAAGTCACAGAAGAGCAGTTAATGTGCTACAGAGAAAAATCAAAAATGCAAGTCTAGATGCAAGTATAAGAAAGTGTTCAAAACCAGAAGTGACCCAGGGTGGAGGATGGAGGCAAAGACAGCCACAACCCCCAGAGCCCAACTCAAGCAGAAATCAAAGGGAACAGAGGTTTCCGTGGGAGACCAGCACCCAGCTGCCCTCCAGCTGCCCCAACACCTGGACAAAGGAAACCAAGGTACAGTGCTGGCACTGTAGGACAGCAGCTTAAGCCACCACCTGCAGTGCTGGATCCCATCCCAGCTCTAGTCCTGGCTGTTCTGTTTCAGATCCAGCTCCTGGTTAATACACGAGACAAGGAAGCAGAAGATGGCTCAAGTCCACCTCGCACCTGAGTGGGAGACCCAGGTAGGCATGAGCCTGGCCCCGTCGTCTTCATCACAGCCATGTGAAGGTGGGAGATCTCCTTCCGCGGCAGAAAGCCCAGCTGGGCCTGGCCTGGCCTGGCCTTCAGAACACACACCTGGGAAACTTTCTGACCACAAGACAGAGCTCAGCCGCGTGGACAACGCTGCCTACGGGCAGGCTCTACACAGCCGAGCTGCGCTGGAGGTGGGGTGCTGCTGCGACGCCAAGGACTCACCAATGAAGTGGTTCTGCCCCAAGCTGAGCATCTCCTCCAGCAGCACCAGGGCCCCTGGCGCCTGCAGGGGCGTCACACTGCGGCCGTCGATGAGGGAGCACTGCCGGAAGCCCGCAGCCGTGACCTTCCACAACAGAATCAGCGAGATGGAGGCATCCTGCAGAATCCTGAAAACGGCAAGGATGGAAAGTCATGCTCAGAAAAACACATCCTAGAGCTAATCCGTCAGCTGCTCAAGACGACGCGTGCAGCCACACAGGTCTCGGGAGGACAAGAACCACCACCTTTTCTGCTACATCCGCTTGTGAACGCTGAAGGCTGCACATGTCTGCTCCACTTACTCAAAGTACACTCGACGAGCAATCAGGAACTCACCTTTGGGGAGCACTTCCAAGAAACATTCAAGTTTTTGGAGATCAGTTCTTCCGCAGCCACACAAGGCAAAGGGTTCTGGGGAAGTGTGCTGGGCCTCGCAGTCAGGACGCTGGCTGGGATGCCTGCGTTTGAGTCCCAGAGTCTCCCAGCTCCAGCGTCCTGCTCGTGTGCCTTTCTTGCCTGGGAGGCAGCAGGAGATCTTTCCAATCACTGGATTTTTGTTAGCTGCAGCTGTGTCCCCAGCTCCAGCCTGGCCCAGCCCTGACGGCTGCAGGTATCTGAACCCGTGGGTAGGAACACACACTCTGTCTTCCTCTTTCTGTCTACGCCTTTGCCTCTCTAGTAATTTTAAAATTTAAAAGAGAAGGAGACGAAGAAACATCAGCATCTCGGGGAAGGGGCTTCGGGCAGTAGTTACAGATGCCACTTGAGAGCCCCTTCCCATTCCCAGTGCCTGGTTCAAGTTCTGATTTCAGTACCGAAAAAAAAAAATTTGATCGATTGACCAGAAAAGCAGAGTAACAGAGAGAAGGAAAGAAAGATTTCCAGCAGCTGGCTCACATTTCAGATGGCCTAGGCTGGGCCAGGCCCACGCCAGGAGCCAGGAGCCAGGGGCTTCAGCTAGGTCCCCCTGTGGATGCCCAGGCCAAGCACTTAGGTCATTTTCCACTGCCTTCGTAGCCACATTAGCAGAGAGCTAGATGATGTGAAATAGTGGGACGCGAACTGGTGCCCACCAGGAAGCTGACAATGCAGACGGTGACTTCATGCGCCATGCCACAGTGCCCTCTAGGACTTCCTGTTCAGCTTCCTACTGACGCACAGCCTGACAGACAGCAGACGAAGGTTCAAGTACAGGGGACACTTACACCGGGTTCCAGGCTCCTAGCTTGACCCTGGCCCTGCTTCAGCTACCACTGGTGTTTGCACAGTAACCTACCAGATGGCAGACCACTGGTGTGTGTGCATGCTTGACCACACACTCCCTCCCTCCTCTCTCTGCCTTTCAAAGTAAACCAATCTAAGTCAATACTAATAAGTACATAAAGGCTGCTTAAATGTCTTATAAGTTTGTAACCCAACCCTCCACAAGTGTGTTCTCCCACTGCCCCCCATGTGTAGCATCCCTGGCTTCTGGCGGGTTTCAGGATGCAGTGCAGGAGATGAGACGCAGCAGAAGGCCTGCCCAGCTCACCCCAGCTCCCCCCTGGGCCTCAGCACCTGCTCCTCCATCCTGCACCGAATGCTGTGGGGACAAGGGTCTGCCACCTCTTCCCAGGTCCCATGCTGTACACCCCTTCTCCACCTGACAAGTGTGCCTGCCTTCACATCTTCACAGAGACCCCTGACTGCATGCTGCCATGACAGCTACAGCCCCTCCAGGTGCACTCCCGGCAGACTGGGTTTCCACCCCCATAAGCAAAGGACAAGGCTCCATCCTCACCTGTACCTACATCTGCACCCATACCTCTACCTCCTCCCCCCCACCTCCTCCATCACCTCCACTATCACCTCCTCCCCCACCACCTCCTCAGCCACCTCCTCCATCACCTCCGCCACTACCTCCTCAGCCACCTCTACCTCTACATCACCCCCCAAGAAACCAGGGCACTAAACCCATTCTGAACTTTATGTATCCTGGCCACACTCTGCCATTTCTGCCCAATCCTGCAGCCTGTCAGGGTTATGGAGAGCACAAAACCAAAAGCATTTAAGAGGCTGCAGACCAGAACTCTGGAGAAAGGCTTTAAAGATAAGACTATTTCCCCTCCACGGGAAGAAGTCAAGAGACGATTTCGTAAGAGCAAGTGAACTGAGGGCTCCCTGTCCATTTCTCCAGAACCGTCCCTGGACTAAGGGCCTTCACCAGGACAAGCAATGAAACACTGAGCTCCGGGCTCCCCCTGCTGGCGGAGCTTGAAGCGGCCTCAGAGGCCAGCTCCCTTTCACTGGGACATTGCCCCCTAAATGGCTCTTCCCTCGCCCAGAACTCAAGGCTCGGGGAAGGGTGACACAGAGGGCAGGGAACAAAGTCTGCCTAACAGACATTTTCAGAAACTCAATTGTTTAGAAGGCAACGTGGCAAAAAAAAGGGGCTGGTACACATGGAAAAGAGGGCTGGGGTGGCCACTGACCTCATTAAAGGGGATCAATTATATCAGCTTGACCAGCCAGAGCCACATGTTCCACCATCTTCAAAAATCCCACCAGACACACCTAAGGATGCACAGGTGGCATGGGCAGGGTGGCAGGTGGTGGCACAGAGGACAAGGCAAGAAGGTAACATAGGCTGTCCGTCTGTCTGCACACCCTACTCGGAGCCACACAGACAGCACCCAGCAGTGGCAGGCGTTCGCCTGGGCAATGTCACTCTGCTATGCTTCTTCCCTAGGCTCTCGGGTGACATTGAGCAATCTATCATTTGAAAGCATTTTAGCTAAATACTCCTCTCAGTTGCTTGCTTTTAAAGAGAAAATTGTAATATGTGGATTTTGAAATTTGGGGTAAATTTTGCATGAGTTTAACCAGTGGAAAATTAAAATCTAAAGATACTAGTCATTTGAGAAGCAAACAACATATGGGAACAGAGGCATCCAGCTTTGGACTTGCTCACTCCGACCTGTCCTATCCTATGTCAAGTGCGCACCCCAGCTAGATCCCAGGTGACGCCCTGTGCTGACAGAGCCTCCTCCAGCTCCTGCAGACAAGGGACGCATCCTCAGGGTGCCCACTGGACTGGCCAGAAATGAGCCAGTTAGACAGAAGACAGCACCTGACACATGGACATGGGATCAATAGTGATTTGATTTTATATATTGATTGATTGGCCAATTGATTGTTTGAGAGGCAGAATGTCAGAGTTCCCGTTCAATGGTTCATTCCCCCAAATGCTTACAATTGCCCAAGAGTGAAGCAAGCAGACAGCGAATCTGTCTACGTCTCCCACATGGGTCCTGGGCAGGGACACATGTACTGGAGTTATCAGCTACTGCCTTCCATGATGTATATGAGTAGGAAGCTGGAGCCAAGAGCAAAGCTGGGCACTCCTATATGGGGCACAGGTGGTCCAAGTGGCATCTTAATTACTAGGCAAAACATGCCCCATCCCAAACTTGTTTCTGTATATACATTATTATAGGTGGACAGATAGGCACAGATATACCTACATTGATTGGATCATTTGAAAGGTGGGAGTAGAGAGAGAGAGAGAGAATGAATCTTCCAACCACTGGTTCATTCCCCAAATGGCTACAATGACTGACACTGGTCCAAGCAGAAGCCAGGAGCCTGGAAGTCCATCTGCATCTCCCACATGGGTTAAAAAAAAGTCCAGCACTTCTGCTGCCATTCCAGCACACTGGCAGAGAGAGGATAGTATATGCAATAGCCAGGACTCGAACTGGTGCCCATATGGATAGGAGGCAAGCAGCAGCCCACCCTGCTGCTCTGCAATGCCAGCCCCACCCCGGCCCGCCCAATCTTGTCACACAATGAGATGTCTTACTTCACTGAGGTGTTCTGAGGCACGTCAAAGGACACCAAGCGGCCACCTGCTGAGCTGTTGGAGCTGGCATTCCCACAGGCAGTATCAGGGATCACCTGTGAAAAGAGAAGGAGACCCATTCTTGGGTTATGATGGTGAATCCCCTCACCCCCTTAGCAGCGCCTCAACAAGAATGGGAGAGATGAGTGACAGCACAGGAACTTGGAAAGGAAAGCCTTCCATTCGACACACACACAGAGTCTTTCCCAAGAGCAACCTACAAATTCCTGAAACAACTGAAAAGTTAGATATTTCCAGAAAGGTGGCAGGATTGCACGCCCTGCCCCTTCCTTCCTTACAGCACCCCTGGGCCCTTGCTCTATGCTCAGCCTGAGCATCAGATGCTGAAAGAACAGGAGAAAGCCTGTTCAGACGGGCTCACACCTGCCAGAGACAGGTGTGTATGGTGAGAAAGACCCCCCGCCCGTGTGGATGGATGTGGGAAATGGGAAGGGGCCCTTCCTCATTCCTGCCTGTTATATCTTCACTTTTGACATATTTGTTAAGATTTATTTATTTTTATTGGAAAGGCAAATCTACAGAGGAGGGCAAAGAAGAGACACAGAGAGACTGTAAGATCTTCCATCATCTGGGTCACTCCCCAAATGGCCACAACAGTCAGAACTGAACCAATCTGAAGTCAGGAGTTTCAGGTCTCCCATGCCGGTGCAGGGTCCTAAGGATTTGGGCCATCCTCTACTGCTTTCCCAGGCCACAAGCAAGGAACTGAATTGGAAATAAGAGTACCCAAATGTAGAATGGGTGCCCATTTGGGATTCCAGTACTGTAGGTGGAGGATTAGCCTGTTAGCCACACGCCACCACTGCCCCCCACCGCCAGCCCTCCATGCCAGAGGAGCTCCTGGGGGTGCATGGCTTTGCTCTCTGAGCACACTGGGAACTCTTGAGCTGTGGTCCAGGGAAGGGCTCCTGACCACTGCACTCACTTCGTCTCTAAGATGTGGTTATGGTCCTTGTCCTTGACCAAGGAAAGGAAGGGGGCCTGAAAGTGTTCAAGGAGGGAACCCCCTGAGCACTGTACAAAGCTCTCAGCCACGCCCCTCAGCCCCAACCTGCAGGACGCATCCCCAGCAGTGTGCCGTCACACAGATTCTGCCGCTCAGCTCAGAGACGGAAGCCTGGCTTGTCACATGTGCATCAGTGACAGCTACTGCACACACCTCAGTCCCCCACGACCCCACAGCCTCCCGCTTCCCATCTCGCTCCCTGCTAATGCTCCCGAAAAGCAGCGAAGGATGGCCAAAGTGTTTAGCCCCTGCCACCCCCCGACCCCTGGATGGAATCGCAGCCTCCATCAGAAGGAACCAGTGGATGCAAGATACCACCATCCTTTTTCTCTCTCAAGTGAATGAATCAATCTTGTTTATTTTCAAGATTTATTTTTATTGGAAAGTCAGCTTTACAGAGAGCAGGAGAGTCAGAAAGGAAGATCTTCCATCCATTGATTCACTCCCCATGTGGCCACAATGGCCAGAGCTGCACTGATCTGACGCCAGGAGCCAGGAGCCTCTTCCAGGTCTCCTACACAGGTGCAGGGTACCAAGGCTTTGGGCCATCCTCGACTGTTTTCCCAGGCCACAAGCAGGGAGCTGAATGGGAAGCACTCACATGAGATCCTGGCGCATGCAAGGTGAGAACTTCAGCTGCTAGGCTATGGGCCCAAATGAATCTTTTTTAAAGGAAATAATGCCTGACACAAAGTCTGGACATTTCATTGTCACCTGCAGCCACCGCAGAGGACTGTGACTCTAAATAAATAGACTGAAACGGCCTGTCAGAGAGCAATTTTCTTTAAAGGATATTTCCTTGATAAACCTGGAACCAAATCCAGTTGACATGCAAGAAATAAGTCACCTACAAGACAGGCATTAAACGCAACTTCAAAGCACTTATCGGAAGTCTGAAATGAGAGCAGCCAGCGCCCGGTTCTGGTAGGCAGGCTAAGAACGCAGTCTCAACGTGGCCGGCATAAGCTTGTGTGGCTTGAAAAAAAAAGTGGGCCAACCAAAAACTTAGTCAAATCATCCAAGAAATAAGATATATGCCTCTTACTTTTTTTGTACACAAATCCTTGATGGTAATATAAGTTAGACTCCTTATAGTAACACATCACCAAGACATGGAACAAAGCAACGCTGTTTCCGCAAAGCTGCAACTCTTGGTGTAGATTTGGTTCCCAAAGAGATATAGCTGGAAACTCTACATTTTATTAGAGATTTACCAGGAAATAATCTTCAGGTAAGACTTCTGAAGGTACCAGAATCCAACTCCCGTGGGACACATTTCAACATTTTGCTATCGTCAAAGTAAATAAAATTTGGAGATTTCATTGTTAAACACATCCTCAAAATATTCTGAAGTCCCACCTAAGTAGTAAAAGGTACTAAAACCAGAATCTAAACAGTAACAACTACATAGTTGGGCACCCTAACTTTCTGCTAGGGCCTGAATGTGGAACAACACTGGAAAAGCTCACAGAAAAATGCAACAAAAAGATACATTTACTTGGCTCCAAAAGTAACTTAAAATCCACACTTAGGTTATATATATATATATATATATACACACACACACATATATATACATATATATATTATACATTTTCCATGACTTTATAATGAAAAATTATTCATGGGTTTCCAATTTTTTTGCACTAGAATAAATGTATCCATGAATTCCACTGCCCATCAGCTTTCTGAAGTTTCCCTTGCCTCTGCTCAGCATGCCAGTGTTGAAATGTGACCCTCAAGGTGGTGGGCTCAGGCGACAAGGCCTCTGGGAGGAGGCTGGGGCATGACCCACTCTGTGCACCTTCTGCCACATGAGGTCACAGTGTGATGGCATCCAAAGAAAAACACATCGTGTGACTCCCAGCTGGCCTTGATCTTGAGCTTCCCAGCACCGCAGGAGGGCCACCTTCTGCTTTCCCAGGTCATTAGCAGGGAGCTCAACTGAAAGCGGAGCAGCTTGCTCCAACGTGTGATGGCAGTGTCACTAAAGTGTGCTTACCCCACTGTACCCCCATACCAAACACTCCCCACCAGGGGGACGGCGAGAGTTCTCCCATTTTCACTGCTGATGGTAGAACCACCAGAACGCCTTTGACATTTCTGATTTCCTACAGAAAACCACACGCAGTACAATGTCCTCACCTTCACTTGATCCCATTTCATCTCCACAACTTTCTGGCCTGTTTTCGGCTGCCATGTCGGCAGCGTCACGGTGGCCTGAGAGCGGGATACGGTCACTTCAGGCTCCTGGGTGGCAGGAACAGGCTGGAGCTGTCGAGGGGCTGTGGATTCAGTCCAGCCTGAGACTGGGAGACTGGGCAGTGCCTGCTCACAGTGAGGACCTTCATAGCCTTCATCGCAAATACAGAGGTAGCCATCACTGCTGCTGCTGCTGCTGCTGCTGCTGCTGCAGTTGCCATGGTGACAAGGGTTGCTGGCACACGGATCTGCAAGGAGCTGAAACGAGACCATAAATGGGTCAATTATTCCCTCATAAGGAAAGCGGTGCCATCACTGGGAAATCAGCTCAGCGTCTCAGAGCGGCTGTTGGAACAGAAGCACTGCTCCCAGGCGGGGAATCAGGTTCCCAACGACTTGCAGGCACACTTTTCAAGGTCATTACCACATGATAGCAAGGAACTGAGTGGTGGTCGATAGCTCCCCAAACCCAATCCTAAGTTACAGTGACTTCACAACTTAGCATTCCATGGAAATGTCTAAGACATCATGGTTATAATCTAGGTTTGCAAGGAAGACACCCTCTTGGATGTTTTAGCTGTGGACCAAGAAACATCTTTGCCATCCTGGGCTTCTGCAGGGTCTCCTTTTGCAGGAAGAGCCATGTGATGTGTGCACGGTGTCACCACTTCCAAGAGTTGTCCAGTCTCCCCTAATCAGGGATCTTTTATTGAGTGATGCTACTGAATTAAAGGCTTCTAGAATGGTCTGTCTGCATCGCTGGCAAGTGCCAGGACAGGATGTGGGAGGAGACCTCAGCAGAACTCCATGAAACAGTGGTCTCATTATCGGTGAGGGTGATTTCAGAGGAATGGGACCCCATGGAGATGGGAGATAAACGTGGGTGGCACGTCCTTTTCACTGTGTTCTTGGGCGGAGGAAGTCCTTCACTGCTGACCTCTGAGTGGCCATCTGTTGGCACCCGGAGACACAAAACAACGGGAAAGATCACCTGCTCTTCCCCAGACAGCAAGGGCCCGGGTATGTTCCCAGTGCTTATTCAATTACAATTTGTTTCTGTGATAAAAGAAAATTAGTTCTCTGGCTGCTGTGTCCCTGGCTTCACTGGACTGCTCACAAAACAGAATTCAGCCGGGAACTAAGGACACAGAAAACAGGATGCTCGGATTTGGTTAAAACAGTCACACACCTAAGCACACAAATCAAGAATCCTACATGGAGAAATGATTACCTATTCTGCCAATCACCCTTATCAAACCATTTCCAATAAACTCCTTCAGGGAATAAGAGGTTTTGGATTGAATCCAATGGTGCGCCAAAAATGCCATATTCATTCTATGCTTTCATTCAGCAGTTCCTTCACAGAAGCTCACAGGAGAGCCAATAGATTAGCAGAGGATATTCGAACTTTGAATCATGTAAACTTCATAATACGTCAACTCAAGGTGAAACAGCCTCTGTCCACGGCAGATGAAGCTCTCGCTGACCGGCCCCCGCTCTTGCCCCCTGAGGTCGTCTCCTTGCACCCTCACTTTCTGCTGCTGGATTTTGCCTCATTCCTTCCCTCCCACCTCAGGGCCCTTGCACCTGCTGGGCCCACTGAGCACAATGCTTCAACTGGGAGAATCTGCCTGCTCTCCACATCTCATCTCATTCATTCTCTAATGAGTCACCCTGTCAGAGAAGTCTTCCCTCACAATGTGGTGAATGATCCAAATGAGGCCATTTTATTTTTCTTCCACCAAAAACTGAACCTCCCTGAATGCAAGGGGTTCAGCTGCCACAAGGACTCCATCCTCAGCACATGGAGGAACACGTGGTGCAGGGTGGGACTCCAAAAAGCATTTGTGGAAAGAGATGCAAACGCACAGACTGACTGGTAGTTGGGAAGAGCACGTGCTGAGGAGAGCTATGAACCGCCTGCAGTCACACAATGACCTCACCTCTGGGCTATTTTAGGAAGGCCCTGTGGAATGGGTGTCACCTTTAGAGCTGTCTGACAAGAAGAAAGAATTTAATTAGCTAGAACAAAGGAGGCATTTAAAGTTGCATTTGTGAAATAAACTTTCAAAATATCCAAGATTTACGTCACCACAAATGAGTTCAATATATGCATTAAAACAGCAAAACTACATTGAAATCACAAAGCATTCGTGCAAAATTTCATTCTGGAAAGCCAAACCTCCACTGAAGGCAGCTCAGAGGACAGCATTACCAGGTAAAAACCACCTGCCTGGTGACACAAGAAGCCTCCTGGCTATGGCTGCCTCATCACAGCCCCCTTGCTGAGTCCGGTCAGACCCTCAGAAGAGGTGTGTAGTGCAGCTTAAGACCCAGCACAATAGAGAAGTCCTTCAAAACACACAGACCCCGGTCCACCAGCACGCAACGATTGCTCTCCTGAGATGGTCACTCGCAGGGGTTGAAGAACCCAGCCAGGGAGTAGCTCATTCGTCCCCACAACAGCCCAAATCCCAGGTGGAAAACCGAAGGGCAGAGGCACTGAGTGACCCATGGTGGCCACTACAAAGGAAAGCCAGTCCTTCAGCCACATGCTCTTGCCACATCTCAGCACCAAAACATTGTTATCAAACCATCGTGATGCCAGAAACATCCTGCAAAGGAGGAGAGGCAAAGCTTATAGTTAGTTCTATATGCACCCAGCAAATCGGTAGAGATTAAAAGTGGACCAAGTCCATCGCTTCGAACACGCTTTCAGACCAGAGAAAGGAAAGCGATAACCCTCAGTGCACACTGACGAAGCCAGGCCATGACCGGGAGTCAAAGGTCTACAGTGAAAACTGATGCACTCAACCCCAGCAGGAAGCCAGTGCCAGCAGTAAGAACAACCAGTACCATCTGCCAGTCACTGAGTGCCTATCGTGTGCCCACCATTACATTAAACATTGTACCTTAGTTCCTAGTACAGTAAGAACATTGATTCCTCCAACCTTCCAAGAAATCTTAGAAACGCTAATCCGATTACTCAAGTGCACTGTCTCCCACTTGGTTCCCACAACCTACCAGGCCTCCAGACCTTCCACCTCAGGGTCCTGGCACTGGCTGTCCCCTCTGCCGGGATGCCTTCAGATCTCAAGGCTGATCCTAAGCGTCCTTTGGGCCTCCTCTGCTGAAGGCATCACCAAGTTCCCTGCGAAACAGTGCAAAGTCCGCAGCAGGTGGCCTTGCTGAGTCCTCATGAGCTCCTTGACTTTTTGAAGACAACTGTCATCTTCCAACATACTGTAACTGTCCACTTGCCATTATTTACTTTCCATCCCCCCTCATTAGAACCTCATGAGGTCAGGTTTGTTTTTTCTGTTTTGCTGAGGTGTCCCCAGTTCTTGAACGGCGCTGGCCCACGACTGCTGGTACATCAACAATTGCCCCATAGATGAATGAGTGCTGAGTGATGGCATGACATGTAGCCACCAGAGTGCAATGCTTCGTGAAGTGCACGTAGAATTCCCCACGGTCCCAACCCAAGTCCCGAGAGCATGTGGCAAGGAAGAACCTTGGGTGTCTTCACTCTTGTGCTTTGAGGCTCATGAAAAGTAACTGAATCTGCTCTAAAAGCAGAGGTGGAACAGAACCAGTAGAGCTGGCAGGCTTTGCCTTGATCATGACAGGCTCACTGGAGGACAAGCTGGCTCATAGCACAGTGGACCATGGGCCCGTCTCTGATCTTAGAGACACTGTGCCCTCTGTGAGCCACAAGGAAGCCAGCGACCCCAGAGCAGCATGAGAGGAACAGAAAGCTGGGTGGCCAGGGGCAGGTCCCCACAGCAATGCCCACTTTGCTGTCTGAAGGAGTCAGTCAACCACAGGTAAAGGACTCAAGAGTTGAGGATACTGGTGAGACCCATCAGGTATCATGAGGGCGGCTCTCTGGGCCTTAGGGACGACAAGGGCACAGCCAGCACATGCGCACCATGAAGGATGACTGACTAGGAAAGCCCTGTCGCTCAGCATCCTCAGGAAGCAAAAGAGGATGAAGCTAAAAATTCAACTGTCGGTAGTATAGATTAGCGAAGGAGTGATGCAGCACACTCCCAGACATAAACACACTGGGAGGCGACAGCACAAGTTCAGTGCCGTGCAGGGACACTGGTCTTATCCTCATGACACTCCTTGGCCTATTGATTAGCTCTCTCACGAGCTGGCAGCCATCACTCCTGTGCTGACACTTGCTCTACCTGCATCATAAAATGCAACAACTAACTTTTAAGCAAGAGCCTGTCATCCCGCAGACTTACTGAACATTAATCTGCACAATCATTTATAGTGTTTTTTTTTAATTTACGTTTGTATTTTCTCTCCTAAGGGAAAATTCCTATTGAAGAGGTCACGAGTGCTTTGAATCCCATTCAACTGGACCTACAAGCAGGTAATAACCAAAGTGCCCAAATGCATAACAAAGCAAAAGGTCATAATTAATAGCCCTGACTTTGAGCTACTCAATATTTAATGGGTGAGATTTTCACAGCTATAATTTCTAGTTTCCAATGATGATAGAAATGATCAACCTTTGTAATATCAACTGCAATAAAGAGAAAGAGGAAGCCCATGGGTTAATGATTTTCTGTATACACTTCACCAACTGGCTCATTTATCAAACATTAAATGTTATATGTTTGCTGCATCTACTAAAGCCAAATGTTTTCCATGCAGCAGACCTAACCTAAAACTGTTCTTTTTCCATTTTGTTTCAGATGTGTTCATCATTTTTACTAATGCCGTAACCCAGAGCAGGTATGAGGGCTTGGCCCATAGAGACGTGGGAGGCAGGACTTGAGTAAAGGTGCCTACCGGCCCTGAGACCATAATTAGACGTAGTCACCTTGTGACACATCAGCCTTCCCACAATCACCTACTATTCACGTTTTTGTCAGTGCCTATAGCAGCACAACAATGAAGGATGAGGGATCAAAGAAAAAGCCTGCAGAAGATATAAAACAGGCTCATTTACAGAGTCCCAAGAAACTGTGAGTCCTAGCTGACGGGGCTGCCTCAGACCTTATCTGCACAATGGTTGGGCCTCAAAGACACACACACCTCCCCGTCCCCAGGGCCCCTTCCACGAGAGTTAGATTTCAAGCTTTGTTCCTGTCCCTTGCAAACCTCTGCACTTTTACCCAAAACCTAATACGGTAACTGAGTCATTCTTGTGACACTCACCAATCCCCTGTGAGAACCCACATAAGGTGTCCAGAAGAGGGGTCTGGAAGGTGAGAAAAAAAACCCAGCCTTGGCCCTTA